ACTATAGATCCCTGTTATGGTAATCCTAAATCTTATACCCTATATCCTTCAAGCTTACTTAAAGGATCATTATGGGACTTAGTAACTGGGGTTATAAGTAAGGTTACTACATGCATATTCACTTGTAACCCCAATGAAGGTACTTATAACCCTACTTACTCAGTCCCATGATCCTCCAAGTAGGGGCCTTCATACTTAGAATAGGGTTCTTTTTAAAAGAGGTTTATAAGGGCTTCTAGAAGGACTATTATTACACAGGGGTATGGGGCTTCCTTAATATAGTTTTACTATAATGTACCCCCCAAAACCTATTCTAGTTATTAAGGCCCCTACGTTAGTTTCCGTAATGGTTTAGGGTTTTGGTGGTTTAGGGTTTAGGGGCCTTAGGAGTTTAGGATTCAGGGTCTGTGGTATGGTGTTTAGAGTTTAGTGTTCAGGAGCCTAGGCTAAAGGTTTTAGGCTTTACGGGGTTTAAGGTTTAGCATTAAAAAAGATAGGCCGAAAAAAAAATCGGAAGTGTTTGCGCAAAGGGCTCAGGTGTTAGGTAGAAGATAGGGTCCAAGTTTTCTGGTTCAGGTGTGCGACTTAAGTATTCGATGTCCCATACAAGGACCTTGACAATCAGACTTCCGTCGTGAGGAGTTTGCTGTGTGACATCGTTCGGTTCAGGGTTTAGGGTTCAGGTTCAAACCCTATTAACAACCCCACACGGTAATCCTCCTTTCCTTTCGGCGAGCGGGCGATAAGGCCATCCAGCGGTACACCAATAATAGTGCAGCCAGAAGGCAAGGAACCAATCAAGTTGTTGTGTTTATTGGGTTTAGGGTTTAGGGCCTAAAGTTTAGGGTATAATATGTGGCCGTCCCCTACCTTGTGTGACTTTCCGTGGCGAGAAGCCCTGCGCCCTTAGCCCTTCAACCCGAAAATGCACCCCTAAATGATTGCAAAGCAGTCCTAGCGTTTCTTGTGCAATCGCGGGGTATTGGCTTTGTGTTCCGAACGCCCCCCCGGCCAGCAAGCAACGCAAGGCTTAGGGTTTGTAAAGTTTAGGTTCAAGGTTTAGGGTTTAGGGCTTGATACGTTTCAAGGTTCAGGGTTCAAGGGTCTATGGTTTAGTGTAAACCCTGAACCCTAAACCCTGAGCCTCATTTAGGGTAAACCCTGAACCTTATTTATGGTAAACCCTGAACCCTAAACCCTAAATCCTAAACCCTGAACCTTATTTATGGTATACCCTGAACCCTAAACCTTAGGCTTTCCCGGTACTTGCAGCCCCGAAGCCCTAAACTCCCCCAGTTTTCATCCCGCAGTCGGGGACTCCAGTATCCCCTAAAATGGAATCTATACCAGAAATGTTAGTAGGAGCCCTAGTATGATTAAGGAATATCCCACAGAGTCTATGGACCCTCTGGGTATTCCTGAAACCCTAAACCCTGAACCCCCTCTGGGTATTCCTTAATTAGGGGACATCAGAGTCTCTGGGCAAGCCGGGGCTCCAGAGCCGGCGTTGAAAATGCACAGCGACGTGGCGCGGCCTGGCAGCCGCCGAGAGATGGTTTAGAGTCGAAGCGGGGCCAGTACTGGTCTATAGTCTCCCTAGGAATTATGTTTTATAGTTTTGTTTATATAAAACCCGAGAGAAGATGAAACATATTATTTGTATTGTGGTTGTAAGCGGGGTGAGGATCTTGGTTTAGGGTTTACCTGTACGGGTCTTAGGCTACATAAGTTGATTATGGTTTAGGCTGTAGGGTTCAGGGTTTTACTGGGATGAGGGTCCTGGTTTACATAGGCTATTCATTATCAGGCCTATTTGCCGTGACTGGTAAGTGTCTTAGTTTGCATAAGTCAATGGTTGTGATTCGGAAAGACACGGTAAATCAAGTTCCAGCGCATGACCCCTAAACCCTAAAACCTAAACCCTAAACCCCTAAACCTTAAACCCCCTCGCCCAAATCTGTGTTATGCACGGCTTCTAACGATGGACCCTGCAGTCCCTATATGGGAGTTTCCGAAAACTAGGAGTACCTTATTTGGGGTCCTCATAATAAGGGTTCTACTATTTGGGGTACTGTTTTAGGGTCCCCTATTTTCGGAAACTCCCATATACCCCACTGCCCTCTCCTAGCTAGTGCCTATACCAGTAGTGGCCAGACTCTTTGGCTGGGCTGCCCTATAGGCGCAGGATGTGTGCGCAAAACAGCCCTCTTGTTCTACAGGGGTTTTCTGCGGGCTTGAATCGGTTGTAGGAGGGCTCTGAGGTTTTGCAAGGGTCTTGCAGACTTATTTCGTTTCTTTTTTTACCGGTTGTTTTAGGGCTTAGAGTTTAGGTTCTCTATGGTTTCTAGAGGGTTTTATACGGTTTTGACAGGGTCTTAGAGGGAGTTCTTCTCAAAATTAGGGTTCTTGTATTGCAAGGATCCTTACAACTGGGACACTAGTGATTAGGGCTGGTGTTGGAATACAGTTTTTTTTAATGCCGGAGACTCAGAACCCTTCTTGAGGTTCAAAATGGTGGTTTTCATGTGTGTTGACGAAGAAACTTGCAAGCGATGTGGTTGTGTATGCTAAGTTGCCGAAGCATTCCCGAATTTGGACGTGAGAGGGCTTTCAGTCTAGAGACGTGTGTTGACATCCGATACCCGGAAATCCTGAACCACGAGAAAGCATACGCTCGGCCCTAAAATGCACTGGACCGAGACCCTATGAACCACCTTTCGGCTTGAGAGTGCAGGTTGTGTAGAAGCTTATTGAAGCATCCGGTTTTCCCTTTTGCGACATGGCGACAAGTGCCCCGCTGCTCGGGAAGCAGGGCAAGGCCGCCCATAGCAAGGCATCCATCTTCTACGGAGCCTGAGCTCACTCCATATGAAACTTTTACATATTTCGGGCTTCTTGTGCCTTAGTTCTTTATGGTGGTTGGACAAGTTTACATCTTTTGGTGCTCTTTACGGAACCTAATTTACATCTTGTCGTGCTCTTTACGGACCCTAAACCCTAAAAGTCCAGTTGTTTCATGTTCCTTCCCTAGAGCGACGCCAGGAGCAGATGAGTATCTTGAAGAGCTGAAGAAGAAGTATGAGCACGACCATGAAGCTTAGCTGTAGACGGTCTAAACGTTTAGAGTTTTCAGGGTTTAGGGTTTAGAGATTTAAATTAAGAAACTTGAACTAGGGTTTAGGGCTTTGGGTTTGTAGAGCAAGTAGCCTTACGCCTTTTTGGGATACTTTACTCCCCCTATGCCCCTCCACCATCCCTCTCCGCCTAAACAAACCCCAACCGAACCCGCAGTCCCAACCCCGCCTCTTTCCCAACAAAAAAGCTGGACAAGTAAGGAAATCGCGGCTTTGAAGAATGCTCTGCCAGGCGCGGGCCTTAAACCCTCAAGACTGAATCCCGAAACAAGCCCTAAACTCCGTACATACATTTGTACATACATACGTATAAGAGTATATATGTGTGTATATATATACCATGATGTGTATATCTATATATACATAATATTATATGTTCATGTTTATATATATATATACATACACACATATGCCCAAAACAGTTACCAATGCTACTCGTCAGGGTTACTATTCCAATTTCACAAGATCATACGCCAGAATCCTGCTCTACTTGTTTAGGCCCCTATATAGTAAATCCTCAGCAGCCTTGAAGAAGTCTCCTCCAGGTGAGGGGGACCCGAACGCGGCAGGGGTTGCTCAGAGCAGCGACAAGATGCTCTCCGTTCAGAAGAACAACGAGAATCGGAGTTTGGGCTTTGGAGTACCATACTTTAGTACTTTATATGGGAACTGTTACTTAAACGGAACCATGATGAACTGAAAGTCTATACTTTTTTGTCCATGGCTACTTCAGAGCCGAGGAGTCTGAAGACGAACCGGCTCTTCCCGACCCCGAACAAGCCTGACCCGATGCCGCAGAATCTCGCATTCCTCTTCACCAAGATCACCCCGGACCGGAAGATCAAAGATTCTTAAGTTGTTTTTCTTGGCCGGGGATGATGAGGGGAGAGAACAGCTCTTCCTCGATTTTTCTGTTTTTCTAGGAACAGAGCTGCCGTGACAACACCTCCACGCTGGTGGCAGCGGGCCCTTGGGGAACGGAGTTGTCCAGGATGGTCCTCTTCCTTTTCTGCTTGGGTATGCAGATTCTGGTTGGAGGCGTGTGCGGGATGATTCATTTCCTTGGGCCTTTCGAGGCTCTGTGGCTGCTTCTCGTCCTCGGCGGCGAGGCGTATGCTTGGGTGTTGCACATGACAGCTGCAGGTGGCTTCTATGAGATCTGCTGCGGGGGTTTTCTTCGGCAGGTTGTTCGGGGATGGCATGGTGGCGGAAATACACTTCGTCGCTTCATTGACTTTGTGATTGGTGCTCGTGCTTCTGTTGGGGCACGCCGAGTGCGCAGGAGCCGTGGTACACGTGCGCATGTGCCTCTTGTTCAGAGAAGACATAGGCGAGGTTGCGTCCATCCGTGGGGCCCTCGCTCACCTCGAGCTCTTCGTCGCTGTGGGTGGCGGCGAACTTTTCGGAATCTCCTCAAGGACTGTGCTGCGTTTTCTGCTCGTAGGGTAGGGCTTCGCAGAGTCCGGTGGGCTAGGCCTAGATTTAGAGCGGCTTGCCATCGACAGTTCATGCGGCCTTCGGCTGCACTTTGGCTGCTACGCCAGCCAGTGCTGATGCGCCCGGCTTCTCGTGTGGGATTGCAGAGTCGGGTTTCTTTCTCTAGTGGTTGTCGGGATTCGGGTGGTAGGGCTTCTTCTGCTCGCAATCCTCGCTGTAGTGCTTTGTCTTTGCGGGTCAGGACCCAAGGACCTGGAAGAGTGATTCAAGAAAATAACAAGAGTCCTTGGGGCCATCAAGATGGGAAGCGGACCCGAGAACCGACAAGAGACGAAAGCAAGAGCCTGCGGGCCAAAGAGGCATGTGGCCCTGTTTCTACGACTAGCTCTTCGGAGCTCCCCGGCCCTGCCGCCTCGCATTGCCGTCGCCATGGTGGTCGCGGGATTTCTTGGCTCCTGGGCTCTGCTTCTGCTCGTAGTGCTGTTGCGCAAGGACTTCGAGGAGCAGGTCATCGATGCCGCATTTTGCGGCCAGCTGGTTGGGTGCCCAACGCGGTGATCTTCATTGGGTTGAGGTGGCTCGCTGGCATTCAGTTTGGTTTTGAGGGCCTCGACGGTGCGACCGAGAGTTACTCGAGCGCTTTTGCCGATGAGAGGCCTGGGGTTACCTTTTCTTTACTTAGTGACGCCAATGTCGTTGCGAACGATTTTGAGTGGACTTTCGACTCATGCTGTGACATTGGGAGCGCGAGTGTATGTGATTTCCTCTTTGCTGATCGGGCTCGCCTTGGGCCTTATCGGGGTGTACGCGTGGGCGAGGCTAGTCATCCCGGACCGGGGGGCAGCAAGAGAACGGCCCGCAAGCGCAAGCAGGCGCTCATGCAGGCGATTCGGGACCTTGGGCCCAAGCAGCTGCGATCTCTCCTCAAGGATGTGTTTCGGGACTTTGTGCAGCTCGGTGTAGGGCCGGTGGCTTCCTTTGCGGCGGCTCCTGCTGCTGATGCGAGCCGGCGGCCTTTGCGTGATGATTGGCATCCGGACTGGGATGGATGGGACTGGGAACCCGAGGTGGCTCCTTCGTCTTCCGTTGCCACGGCTCCTGGTGATGATGGGTGCTGGCAGGCCTCGCGTGATGACTGGCAACCTGGATGGAATGACTGGGATTGGGGCACTTCTGCTCGCTGGCCTTCCGGCTCGGGCCGGCGGTGCACCCAGGACGACGCCGACTACGACTGGTCCGGCTGGCGGGCTCCTTCTCAGCCTGCGTGGGATTCGGTTTGGGATGCTGCGGCTACCGAGGGGGCGCGCGCGGGGCATGCTGTTTCTTACTATGCTGCGCCACGGCGGTCTCCTACCAAGGCTGCGGCGCCTGATGCTTCAACGCGTGTGGTTACTACGAGCCGTCGCTGGGCTGATCTTCAGGACGAGGCTGAGGATGAGGTGCGTGCGGCAGCGGCTTGCTCGGCTACTACCACCAACGGACCCAAAACCAGCCATTTCTCCAAAAAGCAGCGTGCTTTGGCTTGCGAGGCCGATGCTTGGACTTTACGCCGGGATCTTTGGGCTTCCAATGGTCCCTTTGCTTTCGCATCTTCGGTGACTGAGCTTTGTGGGATTTTGGATAATGCCGAAGGGGTGTCCATCCTGACCATCGTGCAATCTTTGCAGGAGGCCGAGGAGGTTTGGGATATCATGCGCAGTGCCGCCGATGACGATGATGGTCCCGAAAACTCCTTAACTCTTCTTTGTGCTGCTGGTCAAGAGCGGGAGCTGTGGTCCACTGAGGTCAGTGAGAAGGCTGCTTTAGTGCCAGTACCGGGCGTGCAAGACGGTAAGCTTCGTCATCTTAGGCACTGGGTGCTCTCTGTCGGCGGTGACCCTCCTTCTTTGTCTACCAGGGAGGCGGGTACGCATACCGTGCGCAAGCCGCCGCCGTCTTTGCCAGCGCAGCGTGCCAGGTCGTTGTTGGTGAGGGTCACATGTGAGCATGCATACAATCCGGAGAAGTGGAGTGAGATCGCTCGTCAGCCGGGGAAGTTTGCTCGAGTTTGGGCTGGCACTCAAGGGGTGAGGCAAGTCGATATCGTTGACACTTTTGGTTTTGGCATGCATGGCAAAGCTCGCCTAGCTGGCCTCGTTCGTGTCGCGAATGCCGATGCCGCTTGCAAGCTTTGGAAGGCGTCGGGCTCCTCGTCGGGGGGCGTGACCCTCTTTGTCGACCTTGTTGCCGAGGCCAAGGACCTTGCTGAACAGTGGGCTAAGGACCAGGTTGCCGTTCAGTGGTTTAAGTGGGGCGAGAAGGAGTCGTTCGAGCAGTACTTGCAGCGGGTTCGGCAGCAGGCACCGTTGGGTGTGGTCTTAGGTCGGACTGAATTGGGTCGTCGCATGCGGAGCGGGGACCCTGAGTACACTGCTTCACCAGTGACCTGGCGGGCGAGAGCCGTGCCTTCGCACTACGGTTTGGCCGATGTGGCGACCTTGATCGGCGAATTGGGGTTTCAGGATGTGGTGGTCCTTTCGTGCCACCGGAGCAAGAAGGGCAATGACTGGAACTTCAAGGCCCTCCGATCCGACCGCAAGCAGATGCTCCAGCAGCGCGTTGACTGGGGCCACGGGGACGTTAGTGAGCTGGTTGTTGTCAGGGAGAGCACGCGGCGGGGGAGCCTTGAGCATTCCTTGCCGTATGTTCCCATTGCTAATCGGCGGTCCATCTCCTTTGGGGAAAAGGCCACTGTGACTCTTCAGTCTGCCAAGAAGTCTCGCGGTCGACGCGCTACTGCGGCTGCGGCGCCTGCTGTTGGCGAGGCTTCCGCTGCTTCGCCTCGTGGTGCCAAGAGACCTGCGCCTGGTCAGGAGGGGGCCATGCGTGTGGATGGCGAGGGCGGCGATGATGCTGCTCATCCGTGGGCTCCGCTGGGCAAGAGCATTGAGAACCCCGGAGAGGGTAATTGTCTCTTTCATGCTTTGGCGGCTCTTGATTTGGGCGGGAAGACTCGCTCGCATCGGCAACTTAGAAGGTACGCTTGCATCGCCTTGGAAAAGCACGCCGCAACGCTCCAGCCTTTGTGGACCGCGTCAGGCTGCCACAACACTCTGGGGCGGCCCTCGACTTTGAGCTGGGATGGCTATGTGAAGGAGATCTCTGCCAACGCCGCGTGGGGCGGTTGCCTTGAGGTCCTGGCCATCAGCATCGACTTGTCGCTGCGCGCCTGGGTCTACACCAGTGGGGGGGCCCTTCACTTGCTCAATCCGACTGGGAGCGCCGGTTTCCTTGCTCTGCGCTTCGACACGGATCGCGAGCATTGGGAGGCTTATGCGGACATTGATGAGGCTCACCTTCGTGATCATCATGCGGAGGCTGGCGGGGGCTCCTTTGTCTACGCTGACAACCTGTGTCGAGGCGGTGGCGCTCTCTCAGACTGTGCCACGGCTACTTCTTCTTTGGCTGCGGATGCTCCTGGGGGTTCCGTTGCTGGTGACGGCGCTCAGGCTCCTTTTCCTTCTTTGTCGGATTGCGCGTCGGTGGCTGCGACTCTGGTTTCGGACGAGGAGAAGACTGCATATGCCGCCTTGTGTGATGTTCTCTTTGACCAGCAGATCATCGATGATCCGATCAAGCTTGCGGCCGGCATCAGAGTCTCGCTCCGGTGCCCCTCACTTTCTGGGCTCCAGCGGCAGGGAGTCTTGGATCGAGTTCTCGCTGAGGTGAAGGAGCTTCATGGGAATGAGGCTGCGGATCCCTGGACTGCGGGCCAGTTTGAGGCCATCCTGGGCGCTCTGCGTGATGCTGCGGGCTCTGCGGGGCTGTTTCCTTCTTTGTCAGAGTGCGCTTCTGGCTCAGGTGCTAACGCTCAGCTGCAGTTTCCTTCTTTGTCGGAGTGTGCCTCGGCGACTGCTACGTCTCGGAGCAAGAGGGCTAGACCTACTCCTAAGGCCAACTCGCACTGGTACGCCCCTTCAGCTGCTGAAGTTCGTGCTCTTCGTGGCGCTGCTCCTGGTGCTCCACGCAAAAGGCATGCTCCTGTTCCTTCTGGCGCTTCTGGCAGCTGTGTCGCTGGTGCTGGTGGCGAGCTTTCGGGTGCGGAGTCTGTTGCTGAGGATGCTGGCGAGCCTCCGCGCAAGCTGCAGTTGGTTGAGTGGTACAAACGCGGTTCTTCTACTCATCCGGCTCGGCAGCCAGATGGTTCGTTCAAGGAGCGCTGTGCTCATTGCCCGCACATCTTTGTTGACGCCTCCACCGACGGGTTGGCCAAGCGACGTTATGATCACTACAAGCGATGGCATCCGGAGGAGCCTCGGCGGTGTGGGCGGCCGGTGGCGCCGGTCATTGACTTGATCCGTCTTCCGCGTGGAGCTCCCGCTGACTGGCGTTGTCCTTTGTGTTCCTTTGGCATCCCCGCTGGTGGCAGGGCTGGTTTCTCGACTACTGCTTTCGCCAACACCAGGGATCGGCATCGGCTTGCTGCGCACTCTGACTACTGCAAGTACAGCTATGCCTATGAGTGTCGGCTGCCGGCTTTAACTGCTGGTGGTCATGTCATGCGCCGTCGGGTTTCGGAGCTGAATCGTCAGCCTGGTCGGCGCAAGAAGAGTGGAGAGGAGCTGGGGCTTGAGGGCTTTCGGGCTTTCACGTGGCCTCGTCTACTGAAGCATCGGCACAAGATGCGGCTACGCTTTTCTTCGGCTTGGCGATGTTTGTGGTGCACTCAGTCTTTCCTCTTTGTCAAGGTTGCTCGTGCTCACAAATGTGGTCCTGCTGACCCACAGACGGTGAAGCGGCGCCAGACCCAGGTGCGCCAAGTGTGGAAGGATTGCAAGGGCAAGGCTCATGAGCATGGTGTCGATGATAAGACCTTGCGTGCTGTCGTTGACGGTGCGGTGGCGATGCTCGGTGACAAGTCGGTGCATTCATGAACTTCCGCTTCGCTACGTTGAATGTGAACCGGGCAGGCGTCCCCAAGCTCGCCGCCATCGCTCAGCTGATTTTTGAAGGGGATACTCAGTGTGATGTTCTTTGCCTCCAGGAGCTTGACGTGCCCACTGTGACTGCCGCCAGGTTCGTGGAACAGTGTCGCCGCCATGGGCTCTACGCTTACTTGGATGCGGCCACTGGGGGCTTGCACAGGACGGGCATCCTTTCTCGGGTTCCGGGGAAGGCTGTCTCTGTGGATGGGATGGCTGCTGTTCGGTGCAACTGCGTGCTCTTTGAGCTCTTCGCTGCGGGCGGCTTCGTTAAGCTTCTCACTGCCTCTTTCCACGCTTGCTCTGGTGACAACGCCCATGGCCCTTGCTGAGGTCAAGCTTGCTATTGAGGCGCTCCGTGCTTCGCGCTACGAGTGGGTGCTCTTGGGCGACTTCAACCTTGACCCTCACAACGACCCGGAGATGAATCAGGCCATCGCGCAGGGGTTGGCTTGGCATTGGGATGAGCCCTTTTCCTGCTGTGCTGCTACGCGCTCCAGTGGCAGACGCTTGGATTATGCTTTAGGCACTGGGCGCCTCTACCCGGTCTCCACCTTTCAGGCATGGACTTGTTCGGATCATGCGCTCGTCGGCTACGCGGTCAACTTTTCTGATCCTGGAGGCGGTCGTGGTCCAGCTCGCAAGGCGCTTGGTTCCGCTGCGGTCTCTTCTGATCGGTGGGAGCAGCTGTGGGGCGACGCAGGGGCCTTCAACCAACTTCTTCGGCAGGGCCGTGTGAATGAGGCTTGGGCTCTCCTTTCTGACACAGCTGAGGCTGCGCTGTGTGCAGAGGGCTCTGGTGCTGCTTCGGGCCGCGCTTTTGGTTGCCCTCGCTCTTCTTCCTGGACGCCGGTGCGGGCTTCTCAGCGCTCAAAGGCGGCGCAGGGCTCTGAGTCCCTGTTGGCGGTTCAACTTCGACGGCTCCACCGACGGCTTCTTCACTTGGGCTTGCACCCGGAGGAGGAGGCGCTCCGTGCAGTGGTGAGGCGGCAGCTTCGGCAGTTGACTTCTAAGGTCCCTGAGCTTTCTGGCCTGACGCTTCGTGACCCGGCTGCCGCGGCTTTGGTTGTGGGCGAGCTCGTGGCCCGCACTGAGGCCGAGAGTCGGGATCATGCTTTGCAGTGCTGGCGCAGCCGTATGCGCGAGGATCCTGCCATGCTCCGTGCCTGGGTGAAGCGACGCGCGCGTGAGGAAACTGACTTGGCTCGGCCTGTTCCGCCGCTGGGCAGTGTCTCGGTGCAGCAAGCGGTGCACCCAACTCGTGTGATCCAGGAGGCGGAGGTTGAGTGGATGCGGCGCTGGGGCCGGCGACCTTCTTCTGACAGCGCCTCTTCGGTTGCGCAGCTTCTGGAAGCCGTGCCTTTGCTCCCTGAGGTGCAGCAGTGGAGCCCGGACCTTTCGGGCCCTGCGCTTTTCAAGATCGCTAAGGCCATGACTGGTAAGGCCGCTGGGCCCGATGCCTGGCGCATCGAAGAGTGGTTGTTGCTTCCTGAAGGTTTCTGGCGCGCTTTTGCGCAGTTGTGGACTCACGTTTTGGCCGGTGGGGCTGTGCCGCAACGGTGGTCTGAAGGCAAAGTGGTCCTCATTCCCAAGGCTGGCAGTGGGATGAGGCCTTTGACCGTGCTCAACATCGCCTGGCGCATTGGGGCAAAAGCCATTGCTATGTCCTTGAGGGAGTGGGCGTCGTCGTGGGCGAGCAGCAGAACCTTGGGCGGCATCGGCCGCCGCTCTGTGCGGGACGTCTTCCTTCAGGTCATCGATTCGCTCGCGGAGGAGGAGAACTGCTACGTGCAACAAGACCTCAGCAAGTTCTTCGACAGTGTCCAGCTGCCCCTGCTGCTTCAGACTCTCCGCAGGTTTCAAGCGCCGGCGGCTCTGCTGGCGCTGGTCCAGGCCTTCTACGACTCGCACTGGCGCGTCTTCACCTACCTGGGCAGCTTCGGTGAGAAGTGGCAGAGGATTACCTGTGGTGTGGCTCAGGGATGTCCTTTGTCGCCGGTGCTGGTGGCTACGTTGATGGCCACCTGGAGCATCCATGTGGAAGGCGCTCCTGCTGTCGGCACGCGGCCTGTTCGCACTGTCTCCTTCGTGGACGACCGCTTGGTCTGGAGCGCTTCGGGCGAGTCCCTCAGCGCGGCCATGGTGCGCAGTCGCTCCTTCGACGAGGCCTTTCTGCTGGACTGTGACCGCACCAAGTGCCGTGTGGGTGTTCGTCGGGGACAGGCGGCAGGGCTGGCTTTGGCCAGCAACTTGGGCTACGACGCCTCCGACTCGTTGGACCTCCTGGGCCTACGCTTGGTGCTGGACCCTACGGTCGTGCCTGAGGTCACCCGTTTTAAGATTGCTACGGCTCGCCGTCTGTTCCGCTTCATCGGGTTGACTCCGGCGCCTCTGGAGTTCAAGCAGCTGATGGTGCGGACCCTGGTGCTTCCCCTGGCTACATGGGCGGGCGGCTTTGCGCGCGTGTCTGAGGAGCAGCTGTCCCAGCTCAACACCGAGGCGATCGTTCTTCTGGGCTCTCGCAACGTCTGCGACGCTGCGCGTGTGCTGCTGTGCGAGGTCGCTGGTTGGGACTCCTGGCCGGCCTTTGCCTACCAGAAGGCGGCGCTCCTGGAGGCTGTTCGCCTTCACTCCGTGGGGCCAAGCTGGCTGGAGGACGCTCCTCTTACCTTTGCGGCGAAGAAGTGGTACGACCTCTTGCCGGTTTCCAACGAGGTGGTGCGTGACCTTGGCTGGTGGGTGCACTCTTCTGGCGACTACCTGTTCCGTCGTGACTCGGTTGGGGTGGTTAGGCGGTTTCAGTTAGGCGTTGACTCCAGGGAGGTCCTCTTCGAGTGGCTTCGTGACGTTCACCGGCGTCTTCGCTTGAACCGGTGCCCGCGGGTGACCTCTTCACTGCGGCGCGAGCCCGAGCCAGAGCTGGCGCAGGGCCTGGACTTGCCGGGGCCGCCTCCCGATACCTTGTGTGTCTTTCAAGGACATGTGCGCGCTTGGCGTCGTGCAAGGACTGGCTTGGAGCGTGCGACCGCGCTGGCTGGTGGCTGCTCCTGGTGGTACAAATCCAAGCGGAGCTACGAGCACGCGGGAGTTCGACCGCCGGAGCATCGCTGTCTGTGTGGGCTTCGACGGCCCTCTCGGCCTCACTTGGTGTGGTCCTGCTCTCGTACTGCTGCTTTTCGCTCTGACCTCGGTGTGCCTGCCACGAGGTTGGAAGAGAGACTTTTCGCTCGTGGAGTTCCTGAAATTCCACAGCCTCCGACGCCGATCGATTACGACGGCCTTCTCGAGGACATCGCTTGTGCCTTGGATGATAGGATGAGGGTTGCTCCGGATGCTGTGCTTTACGTGGCGACGGACGGCAGTGTCGTTGACGACGTCTCTTCGTGGGCTGTGGCTTTTGAGGATGGTGTTGCTTTCAGTCAAGGCATTGGCGCTGAGGACCAGTCCCCTCACCGCGCCGAGTGCGAAGGGCTGCTGGCTTTGCTTCGTGCTGCTGTCAGGTGTGAGTGTCGAGGCGAGCTTCACGTGGTGTGCGACTGCAAGGCTGCCTTACAGGTTGCTCAGGGTGGTGGTCTGGAACGCTTGCTGGCCAACTTGTTCCTCGAGGAGCGTCGGCGACTCGGCAGACTTCTCGTTGTGCATCTCTGGTGGTGCCCTTCTCACGAGAAGCCGGCGCCTGCCTCTTGGGCCTGTCCGCCTTGTGGCGAAGTTCGTGCTAGGAAGCTGAATGCTCTTGCAGACACTGCTGCTCGTGCTCGTGCTCGTCAGTGTGCTTCAGGTTCAGCTCGACAGAGGTGTTGTGTCATGCGTAAGGATGCTGCTGATTGGGAGTCTCGCGCTTTGGAGGCACTCCTTGGCGTGGCCAGCGTCTGGAGGGACGCCTGAGGTCGTGATCTTCTTCGGCGGCTAGGACTTTGGCATCCTGCTGTCTTTCACTTTCAAATTTCAAATTTTCTAGGAACAGATCAGCGCTCAAAGGCGGCGCAGGGCTCTGAGTCCCTGTTGGCGGTTCAACTTCGACGGCTCCACCGACGGCTTCTTCACTTGGGCTTGCACCCGGAGGAGGAGGCGCTCCGTGCAGTGGTGAGGCGGCAGCTTCGGCAGTTGACTTCTAAGGTCCCTGAGCTTTCTGGCCTGACGCTTCGTGACCCGGCTGCCGCGGCTTTGGTTGTGGGCGAGCTTGTGGCCCGCACTGAGGCCGAGAGTCGGGATCATGCTTTGCAGTGCTGGCGCAGCCGTATGCGCGAGGATCCTGCCATGCTCCGTGCCTGGGTGAAGCGACGCGCGCGTGAGGAAACTGACTTGGCTCGGCCTGTTCCGCCGCTGGGCAGTGTCTCGGTGCAGCAAGCGGTGCACCCAACTCGTGTGATCCAGGAGGCGGAGGTTGAGTGGATGCGGCGCTGGGGCCGGCGACCTTCTTCTGACAGCGCCTCTTCGGTTGCGCAGCTTCTGGAAGCCGTGCCTTTGCTCCCTGAGGTGCAGCAGTGGAGCCCGGACCTCTCGGGCCCTGCGCTTTTCAAGATCGCTAAGGCCATGACTGGTAAGGCCGCTGGGCCCGATGCCTGGCGCATCGAAGAGTGGTTGTGGCTTCCTGAAGGTTTCTGGCGCGCTTTTGGGCAGTTGTGGACTCACGTTTTGGCCGGTGGGGCTGTGCCGCAACGGTGGTCTGAAGGCAAAGTGGTTCTCATTCCCAAGGCTGGCAGTGGGATGAGGCCTTTGACCGTGCTCAACATCGCCTGGCGCATTGGGGCCAAAGCCATTGCTATGTCCTTGAGGGAGTGGGCGTCGTCGTGGGCGAGCAGCAGAACCTTGGGCGGCATCGGCCGCCGCTCTGTGCGGGACGTCTTCCTTCAGGTCATCGATTCGCTCGCGGAGGAGGAGAACTGCTACGTGCAACAAGACCTCAGCAAGTTCTTCGACAGTGTCCAGCTGCCCCTGCTGCTACAGACTCTCCGCAGGTTTCAAGCGCCGGCGGCTCTGCTGGCGCTGGTCCAGGCCTTCTACGACTCGCACTGGCGCGTCTTCACTTACCTGGGCAGCTTCGGTGAGAAGTGGCAGAGGATTACCTGTGGTGTGGCTCAGGGATGTCCTTTGTCGCCGGTGCTGGTGGCTACGTTGATGGCCACCTGGAGCATCCATGTGGAAGGCGCTCCTGCTGTCGGCACGCGGCCTGTTCGCACTGTCTCCTTCGTGGACGATCGCTTGGTCTGGAGCGCTTCGGGCGAGTCCCTCAGCGCGGCCATGGTGCGCAGTCGCTCCTTCGACGAGGCCTTTCTGCTGGACTGTGACCGCACCAAGTGCCGTGTGGGTGTTCGTCGGGGACAGGCGGCAGGGTTGGCTTTGGCCAGCAACTTGGGCTACGACGCCTCCGACTCGTTGGACCTCCTGGGCCTACGCTTGGTGCTGGACCCTACGGTCGTGCCTGAGGTCACCCGTTTTAAGATTGCTACGGCTCGCCGTCTGTTCCGCTTCATCGGGTTGACTCCGGCGCCTCTGGAGTTCAAGCAGCTGATGGTGCGGACCCTGGTGCTTCCCCTGGCTACATGGGCGGGCGGCTTTGCGCGCGTGTCTGAGGAGCAGCTGTCCCAGCTCAACACCGAGGCGATCGTTCTTCTGGGCTCTCGCAACGTCTGCGACGCTGCGCGTGTGCTGCTGTGCGAGGTCGCTGGTTGGGACTCCTGGCCGGCCTTTGCCTACCAGAAGGCGGCGCTCCTGGAGGCTGTTCGCCTTCACTCCGTGGGGCCAAGCTGGCTGGAGGACGCTCCTCTTACCTTTGCGGCGAAGAAGTGGTACGACCTCTTGCCGGTTTCCAACGAGGTGTTGCGTGACCTTGGCTGGTGGGTGCACTCTTCTGGCGACTACCTGTTCCGTCGTGACTCGGTTGGGGTGGTTAGGCGGTTTCAGTTAGGCGTTGACTCCAGGGAGGTCCTCTTCGAGTGGCTTCGTGACGTTCACCGGCGTCTTCGCTTGAACCGGTGCCCGCGGGTGACCTCTTCACTGCGGCGCGAGCCCGAGCCAGAGCTGGCGCAGGGCCTGGACTTGCCGGGGCCGCCTCCCAATACCTTGTGTGTCTTTCAAGGACATGTGCGCGCTTGGCGTCGTGCAAGGACTGGCTTGGAGCGTGCGACCGCGCTGGCTGGTGGCTGCTCCTGGTGGTACAAATCCAAGCGGAGCTACGAGCAGGCGGGAGTTCGACCGCCGGAGCATCGCTGTCTGTGTGGGCTTCGACGGCCCTCTCGGCCTCACTTGGTGTGGTCCTGCTCTCGTACTGCTGCTTTTCGCGCTGACCTCGGTGTGCCTGCTACGAGGTTGGAAGAGAGACTTTTCGCTCGTGGAGTTCCTGAAATTCCACAGCCTCCGACGCCGATCGATTACGACGGCCTTCTCGAGGACATCGCTTGTGCCTTGGATGATAGGATGAGGGTTGCTCCGGATGCTGTGCTTTACGTGGCGACGGACGGCAGTGTCGTTGACGACGTCTCTTCGTGGGCTGTGGCTTTTGAGGATGGTGTTGCTTTCAGTCAAGGCATTGGCGCTGAGGATCAGTCCCCCCACCGCGCCGAGTGCGAAGGGCTGCTGGCTTTGCTTCGTGCTGCTGTCAGGTGTGAGTGTCGAGGCGAGCTTCACGTGGTGTGCGACTGCAAGGCTGCCTTACAGGTTGCTCAGGGTGGTGGTCTGGAACGCTTGCTGGCCAACTTGTTCCTCGAGGAGCGTCGGCGACTCGGCAGACTTCTCGTTGTGCATCTCTGGTGGTGCCCTTCTCACGAGAAGCCGGCGCCTGCCTCTTGGGCCTGTCCGCCTTGTGGCGAAGTTCGTGCTAGGAAGCTGAATGCTCTTGCAGACACTGCTGCTCGTGCTCGTGCTCGTCAGTGTGCTTCAGGTTCAGCTCGACAGAGGTGTTGTGTCATGCGTAAGGATGCTGCTGATTGGGAGTCTCGCGCTTTGGAGGCACTCCTTGGCGTGGCCAGCGTCTGGAGGGACGCCTGAGGTCGTGATCTTCTTCGGCGGCTAGGACTTTGGCATCCTGCTGTCTTTCACTTTCAATTTCAATTTTCTAGGAACAGATGATCTATATGTGGAATGTCTTGACGGCAATCTTTTTCACCCAAGTGCTGATGGTGATTGGCTACTGCGGAGCTTTGGCTTGCTTCCCGGACTACTGGTGGACCTGTACCTCGGTTCCGTAGTAGTGCCCTGTTGCCCTTGGTCTTTTTGGGTTCCCTTCCAAACCGCACAGTAGGTCAAAGGGCACCCTTCTAATTAATGGGCGAACCTAGGTACCCTGTGCTTCGGCATCCCATTTTCGTACATTGCCATCCAGAACATTTACATTGACCACGATGTGATGCATGGCGCCACTTTCCCGGTTTACGAGTGGCAGCGCTTCTTGACTCACCCCTTTGCCGACTTTTTCAGCTTGCCGTGGGAGGAGTTTGTCCTGGAGCACAACAGGCAGAGCATTTCACCGTAAACCCTAAACCCTAAACCCTGACCATGATATCTTAGAATCATGATATCTTTTCAGCCCGGTTAAGCTTCATCGCGTGACTTTCACGGTTCGTGCAGAGTTTTCGTTGCTGCAAAGACGGGCAATCCAGGCATCACGCCTCGACAGTTGACCTGCTTATCCAGGGTGAGTTCGGCTGGGACCCCGAGGAGTTCCACTACGCCCTGCAGCAGTGGGCTGGGCCATGGGGCTCGAACTGGTACAAGTACCTGCTCACCGTCCCTTTCATCCCTGTTACTGGGTTCTTGTTAAGGAACCTAATGTCAGTTGCCATTATCAAAAAACCATATTATCCACTATAGATTCTATTATATATATGGTAACTTAATTGAAGCTCCTTAACAAGAACCCAGGTTATCCACTTCTTCGGCCTGAACGACACCGGCTCTCTCTTCGCCCTGGAGTGGTGGATGCACTTCCCGGATGAAGGTGCAGGCGGAAAGTGCAACAAGGAGCTCCTCGGATTGGGGCCCTAGGGTCCCTTTAAAGGGATCCTTTAAGGCTTCCTAGGGTTTAGGGTTTAGGGTTTAGGCTCCCTTTAAAGGGATCCTTTAAGGCTTCCTAGGGTTTAGGGTTTAGGGTTTAGGGTCCCTTTAAAGGGATCCTTTAAGGGTTCCTAGGGTTTAGGGTTTAGGGTTTAGGGTCCCTTTAAAGGGATCCTTTAAGGCTTCCTAGGGTTTAGGGTTTAGGAGACTCCAACATGCCTGATTTAAGGCCTATTCCGTAACTACGGGAACTTGGAGCTCCTCGGATTGGCCCAGAGAGCTCCTACTGTTGATGCTATAAATCCTGCATTACCCATAATAAGGAAAGATATATATATATATATATATACATAGCATGATTCCCATAGTTTAGGGTCCTTAAGGTCATGCAGGGTTTATACCATCAACCGTAGGATTCCTTTAAAGGGGTCTATAAGGGTTCCTTTAAGGGTTCCTATATGGGATCTACAGGCTTTCGGGTTTAGGAGGCTCCATTATCCCTTAATTAAGGAATACATACCTTAAGCTCTAGTAGGATCCCTAGTATGATTCCCTAATATGATTTAAGGCATATTCCGTAGCTACGGGATAATTAGAGCTCTTCGGATTGCTAGTCTTAGTCCTAATCACAGCTATAGTAATAATAGTAGTCATTGTAACCATAGTAATAGTAGTCATGATAGCAATAGCAGTAATGATAGTGACAACAGTAAGAATAGTAAGAAGTAAAAAGAATAGCCAGAATAGTAAGTTAGAATAGTAAGAACAGAGTAAGACCAGTAAGAATAGTAATACTAGTCCTAGCATCTTTCTGAGATGGGTTGGCACTGTAGCACTACTATCGTTTGCAGCAACTTTCGCAGGGTTACCATTGCGACTGTTATCTGGGCTATGGCTACAAAATCAACAACCAATACGATATTCAGCAACGTGTTCTTGAGTTGGTTGTTTCTCTACTGCCTTCACCATTATCTCTGTGGGTGGCACCGCGAGATACTGCGTGGAATCTTGTCCCTTTGTTCCAAGCCGTTTCACGGAGTCCCTTCCCTGTTTCCAAGATTCTTCCGATTATGCCATTATGCAGGGACAGCGTCGTTTTTATTTTCGGTTTTTGTTGGGGCTATGGCCATTGTCGATTGTTTTACTGCTCTCTGCTACGTACTGACCAACTAATCAGGTTCTGGAGCAAGTGGGTTCCTCGCCGCATCAAGCACAACGCCTTTGTGCTCGGCCTCTGGACGTGCGTGTGGCTGTTGGGCACCTACCCTCTGGGACGTCCTCTCAGCGAGGGCTGGCGTTTCATGTTCGCCGTGTCCTTCTTCGCCCGCGTCGGGTACTCGGCCGCCTGGATGTTCATCACCAACTTTACCCACTCGTTACCTTGGAACGAGTTCCTGGCGCAAGATCCGGGACGCACCTGGCCGGTGCTTCATAACATTATGGCCATGGTGCTCGGTGGCAAGCACCGCTGGAACGAGATGCTCTTCCACGATGTGGCTCTGCTTTCCTAGAGGGCGTGCTTCAATAATGCCTAGAGGCGATGTTTTTGCTGTCTTGGTGCAATGTAACTTCAAGGCTTCCACATACAATTCAGTTGACTCCGCAGACCAAGCGCCTAAACATGGTGCAGCGCCTAAGCAAGGTGCACCATGCTTTTCCGAATGCGGTCGGCACGCTGAGCCAGCGTGGCCGCTTCCACGGCTGGGAGAAGGTGCAGGGCACCTTGGGGCTTTACCTTTGGTGTTCTTAGGGATTATCTTCATTTCAATACAAGAGAACTCCAATAAGATTGTGTTATTTCGGTTCTAAGGGCACGCAGGTTACTCTGTTTGGAACCCTGACACACGAAGTAATGGTTCATGCGCATATGGGAGTTTCCGAAAATAGGGGACTCTAATAAAGTACACTAAATAGTAGGATCCTGATAATAAGGACCCCGAAATCAGGTACCCCCTCCAAAGGGGGAGTGTGTGTCTAACCTCGGGTGGTTTGGCTCCACGAAGTCACCTCGCCACTGTCTCCCATATAGTGTCCATCGTTTCTAGGGTGGGCCCACATACTTAGACATTAAAAGTGCACTATAAGCCCCAGGCTAAGGGTTTTGAGTTTAGGGTATAGGGGTTAGGGTTTAGGGTTTTAGGGACCAGACACGCGAGACCCTGCATAATCCGGCAAAGGGTACCCTGATTCAGACCTTGCGGCTTCGTAGACGGATACCCTAATTCTTGCACACTTCCCAAATTCGCCCCTAGGCCCTAAGCTACAAACACCAAACAATCCTAAGCCCTAAGCCCTGTATTCCGAGACTCCAGAAACCCGACATCCAAGAACCGATGGTGAGTCAAGTCGGCTCTTAGTTGCTGAGTGGATACACTTTACACTTTTTAGGGTAACATTACCCACTATAGAACTGAAAGTGTATACTTTTGGGGGGGCTTCTGAACTCAGCAACTAGGGGCCAAACGTCGACCCCGACCTCTCGAACCGTGCATCCAATAGATCTGAGGGGCAGTGCGTAGGTATTCTTTCGTTGTTACAAGATACAAACTTGGAGGATCATGGGGCTTAGTACGTAGGGTTACAAGTACCTTAATTGGGGTTATAAGTAATTACAACTGTACTTACCTTGCTTAAAACCCCAGTTATTAAGTCCCATGATCCTTTAAGAAGGGGTTCCTCACATAACATTTTGCGCAAACAAGGCTCAGAGCTTATGCGCAATATTGCGAGACATCGATATATGCACTCTGATGTGTATATAGCGTGATAGATAAACAAGCAATACATTTATATATACACAGACATAATGGGGCATTTACGGATACATACAAACTACATTTAATATGAATCTACGGGGCTTATTTAACAACGACCGGATGCGTTACAATGTAGAATCGTTTCAAGATTAAGTCCTAAACCTTAAACCCTAAGCCCTAAACCCTAAACCCTTAAACCCAAAACGAAGGCACCTTGTCTCAGTATTGACCGAGAACCGCTTAAGCTCCCTAACCCCTGAAATCCCAAGAGCTAAGAACACACCAAATTTAGGAGGGTTTTGGGTTTAGGGATCAAACCCCTTGGAAGACTTATGAAAATTGGCTATCGCTACTATAAAGAAGGAGTAGGCAGAAGAACTAGGATACCAAGCAAACCTAACTAGGATACCAGTTCTAAGCCTAAAGCCCCAAACCCTAAAGGCCAAACCTAAGTCCATTAGGGTTTAAGTTGGGTTCTTTTAAACCTAAAACCCTAAAGCCCCTAACCCTACAGCACAACCCCCAGGGTTTTTAAAACCTAAAACCCTAAAGCCCCTAATACCCTAGAGACTCTAACCCTAAAGCAAGACCCCCAGGGTTTTAAGACCATTAGGGTTTAAGTTGGGGGTTTTAATAAACCCTAACCCTAAACCCTACAGTAAGACCCCAGGGTTTAAGTTGGGGGCTTATTTCCTCAGGCTTTCAGGCTCACAGGCTTTCAGCATCATCATCATCATCATCATCATCATCATCTACATCGGCGCTGCTGGTGCCGCTGCTGGTGCCGCTGCTGGCACCACTGGCCGGCCTCCAAGGCCGGGGTTTTAGGTTTAAAAGGTTTAGGGTTTAGGGTTGGGGTTTTAGGTTTAGTAAGTTTAAGGGTTTAAAGTTATTTGGTAATTGGGAGTTTCCGAAAATTTGGGAATCCCTGTATAGTACCTTAATGTAACAGTATCCTTGTTATAAGGACCCGGACCCCTAAGTAAGCTACCCCTAATTTTGGGAAACTCCCATCTGAGGGTAAGAGTTTATTAGGCAGGTATTGTGGGGTTTGGGGTTTCTTTATTAGGTGTAATTTGTAAGAGTTTATTAGGTATGGTAGGGTTTTGGGTTTGTTTGGGTTTGGGAGTTTAGGTGCAAGAGTTTACTTAGGTATCGTAGGGTTTTGGGTTTGTTTGGGTCTAGGAGTTTAGGTGCAAGAGTTTACTAGGTATCGTAACGTGTTGGGTTTGTTTGGGTATAGCAGCTTAGGTGCAAGAGTTTGCTAGGTATCGTAGGGTTTGGGAGGGACCGTTTGGGTCTAGGAGTTTATGTGCAAGAGTTTACTAGGTATCGTAGGGTTTTGGGTTTGTTTGGGTCTAGGACAAGGAGTTTCTTCAGCAACTTCTGCTCACAGCAGTCCTACTGGCAAACAGTCCCGGGCGTGAAGTCGTCCCCACATTTGTCAGCCATGGCCGTCATGCACAACTACACGGTGGAGTTCCAGATCAAGCAATGTAAGGATCGGCTCAATGACCAGTCACCGTACTATGTGTCGGTCTATGGGAGCAGTCACGAAGATTCAATCAAAAGGTCTGACGCAGTCCCTGGCCCAACCCCCGTTCCTTGACTTTTTTACTGTCACAGTCATGCAGTCTTACAGTTCACACATGACACATGCACAATACCAAGGTCTGGAACTTCTCGGGGTTCTTGCAGCTTCACAATCACCAGATGATCCTCTTCGTGTTGCATCGGCAGGGCCGGGGTGCCGATCAGCCTATCTCCACAGGGAGTGTGGCATCCACGCTCCTTCGGGAGTTGAAGGACAACTACTTGTTGGAGTTGACAGGGCGGGAAAGTCATACCCTTGAGGTGGAACTGAGGTGCCGAGGACAGCCAGTCGAGACAGTCCCGCAGTCTGCAGCAGTCTCACAGCCAGCTGCAGTCTCACAGTCCGCTGTCTCGCAGTCCGCTGTCTCGCAGTCTGCAGTCCCAGAGTCAGCAGGCCCGCTGTCGGGAGAGACAACCATAGGACAGGTTTTGCACCTGACAAGCTTCGATCCACCAGAGCCCGAGCTTGATCTTCATGATGATGTGTTTGCACCGTCGGCCCCGGATGCAACCCCTGGTGGCTATGCTGGTGCAGACAGAGCAGGTAGGAACATGGGCAAGTGTTGTGTAGTCTAGCAGATTCAGATTCACTGTGTGTGTTCAGCAGCATCTCCCATGGCACAGGTGCAGAACAGGCTTTGTTGGGCATGCGGTCCAGCGCTCGTCCAACCCGGCTTCTGGATTGGGAGTATTTCCAGTGGCATCTCAGGATTCTCATTTCAAGATATGCACAGTCATGTTCTTGAACACTTGCCTGTGTATGTGATTTGTATCATTGTGTGTAATGAGGAATGCAGCCACTCCCACGCAAGTTCCGAAAGTGGATCCTTCTTTCCAGTTCAAGTGGATCTCCATGGTCTTGCAGAAGGAAACCCAGTGGGGCCCTGTGACATTTGACGACAACATGCTCCAGACTGCTATGCGCTGTTTTTTGTATGCAATATGAGTCTGTTGATCATGTCATGTCATTGTCAACTTCTGCTTGGAATCTGAGGTAAGTCGGCATTGACCCTGTTCCCGACAGTCCTGCAGTCTTACAGTCCAAGCACAAAGCCTTCGGACATGAGGGAGGAGTGCAGCTTGTCAAGTCGAGTTGCTGTTTGCTCTCTGTCTAAGTCCAACTGCCAGTTAGATCTAAGGTATGATCGAGTTCCTCTCGCACGAGATGCAGCGTGCCAAGTTCAACATGTGGCTGGATGTGGCTTGTCACAAGAATACATATTAGAGACTGTGAATGGAGAGACTGTGTGACTGAGTCATGGAGAGACTGTGTGACTGAGGATATTTTGGACAGCAATATCCCGTGCACTTCGGCCATTGTCTACCACTGGTGCTTGCACGGCTTTGAGGGGTTCGGCCAATCCAGAGGTGCCACAGACTATCTGTACCCGAAGGGCCTGGATTTCAGTCTTACCAAGCATGTGCCTTCCATGATGTTATATGAGAATGATTGTTGTGTTGGTTGTTGTGAGCGCTCATCACTTAGTGGCAAGATCTTTTCATCTAAGGTGGATGACACTATCCTCATCCTTCGTGATGCTATGATTTTGGTGGGTGCTCTTGCACCCAAGGGACCTGATGGCAGTGGAACTCTCGGTCGATCAGGCACACAGTCCACAGGCCCCCAGTCGTCAGTCACAATGCCTATGCCAAGACAGGACGAGTGCTGAAACTACACCATTGTGTGTTACTGCACTGCTGGTGATATGTATTTTGTTTCTTGCCCTCTGTGAGGAGACCCCAGTCAACTTTCTCAACAGGTGGTTCGGATCCTGCTGGGACTCGTACAAGGCCCCCTTTGGCTGGTCATTGGAGATGGATCGCCAGGAGTTCGTCAATGGCAGCTTCAGGGTGGTCAAGGCCATGAAAGACCCCTTCAGTGACTTGTTTCAGTTAGTCGGAGGAGAGATGTGCTGTGTTTGTATCAAACTATACTTGTCACTGGTGTCTTCCTGAGGTCCCACGGACTTGTTTACGCAAGATGACTGTTTCAGCTTCTGGACGCCTGTCAAGGGGCATTTCGCTTGGGTATTCTACAGACAGCCGATCCAAGACGGGGAAGCCTTCCAAGTGCCGTCGATTTTCTTTTGGAAAATCTTGCAGCTGCTTGACAGAAAAGATACATGACAGTTGTGTAGTTTGATGCTGTGCAATTGTGATCAGACATGACATCTTGTTTCGAATTTCTGAGGCAGCAGGTCGACGGCCACTTCAAGTACTCAGGCAGCAACTACATCTGGAGCCCGACAAATACAGTCGAAACTTGGTACAACATTTGTTTCCCCTATCTCCCCACAACCAAACAAAATGAATACAAGTCATGCGTGTAACTCAGTGATGCATCCCAGGATGAGTTCAAGATCGAGCGGGCAGAGAAGCAGGTCCTCAGGCCCAACTGGAT